AAGCAAAATATATGATTTGTTGAATGTCATACTGATCATCTCTGCATAAACCTTCACTCAATCACAATAAAAAGTTGAAAAAAATGGTTGAAAACTTTTCCATGAACTTTTTGAAACCCCCTCATATTTTTTAACTTGTGGACATTACTGTAGAGTGATTAGAAGAATGCCCTGGGGTCTTACAACTTATGTAGGCTTTGACTTTATATCTTTTTTTTAATTAAAAAAACCTGGCTCTCACATCTTCAGTTCTGTTCTGTATTGCCCATTGATAGACCTTCTGTTTTTACCTATGCAGACATTGAAAACCTTCAGTTCTATATCAGGTAAAGAAAGGTAATTGTCTTGCTAAATTGAGTAGAAGTGGTGATCTGAAGGTTCATCATGCCTTTTACAAGTTTTTAAACCAGTTCTTGTGTTTTCATCCCCCACGTTCATTCTCCTGACTCATCACACCCCCACACAGGCAAATATATACACATTCATCCTTAGAGGTACTTTGATCCTTTTTGCAGAGGTAATGGATTTACTTTTACTGAATCTTTCCCTACCCCACCTGTTTTACCTCAGCCTGCCTCCAGCTTTTCAATCTTCTATTCTTGTGAAGTCATTCATTTCCAGCTTTCATTTTTAACAACTGAGAAAGGGGCAATTAGTTTGAGGTTCTTTAGGTTTTACTGCAGTCTCTGGAGAAGAACATCTTGCTTGGTAAAGTGGAGGGGTCAGTGAAAAGAGGAAGACTCCCAGTGAGATGGATTAGCACAGTGGCAGCAGCAATGGGTCAGTAGTATAACAATTGTGAGGATGGCACAGGACCAGGCAGTGTTTCATTCTGTTGTGCATAGGGTAGCTATGAGTTGGAACTGATTCAACAGCACTTAACAACAACAGTAGCAGTTTTTATTCCTGAGGAGAGGTTTCTTATTATTCTTTCTATCTATGAAGAAATACTTCAGGTTAAGGACTGTCTTTAGGTAGAGGTTTGTTTTGTGGAAATGATCTACTGTGATTTGGCGAATGCCTCAACTCTCTTCCATCCTCAGTTAGATAAAATCACTATATGTAAAATTTCAGTAAAAGTTTAAAATTCATAGCTCACCTGCAAAGTTTTGTTTCATCAAAGAGGATTAAAGCTATAATGGTGGTATTTCAGTTTTCAACAAGTATCTGAAAGAGGATGTTTGGGGGTTGGAGGTGAAGTTAAAAAGGCATCCTGGCCTCTGAAAGGTGGAAGTGTAGGCACATTCCATGTTAGTAAACAAAAAGATTTTCCATATTCTTTGCAAGTACTGCTAGAAAATCAATGTAAAATAGGTTGGGTGTAGCTACCATTTTGTTTCACAAAAATTTCTCTCTTGACTTTTGTCTTTGCTTAATAACTATGTCAATTAAGAACCTAAAATGGAACTTTACATTCTTGGGCTTAAAGTTTTTCATTGTTTGTTTGTTTTTACATTAGCATCATTAGGATAAGTACGTTAGGAAAGAGATTTTTACACTATACTGGGATGGGTTCTAGAGCTTTGGGGTATAATAGAAACCTTTTGAAAGTTTCTTCCTGGTAGTAGACTTAGGTATTGTTGTTTCAGTTCATAAGTGCCTTCCAGTCAGTTCAAACTCATAGCAACTCTGAATAGGGTTTCTAAGGAGTGGCTGGTGGATTTGAACAACTGACCTTGAGGTCCAGTGTATTATTCCATAGTGCCACACCAAGACACCAGGTATTAGTAGTAATTTTTAAAAAAAGAAATCTTAAAAGAAGTTCTTAGTGGCGTTACAAGGAAAGAAGAGCAATCATTGAGATGAACCAAATTGTAAGATTCATTAAATGTAAAACTGGTGATTTGCTCTATAAACCTTCACTCAGTTCACAATAAAAGATTAAAAAGGAAAAAAAAAGTTCTTAGTGGTTTTTGTATCAAGAAGAAATAAAGTGCAAAAATAAGCTGTGTACAATGAAGCGGAAAGCTAAGCCCTACAATGTTTGGTGGGCTTCTGTGGACCCAGATGGGGACCTGGTTGGCCAGCAGTGTGGGAAGACCTGGGGACTCCTAGGCCCAGAGTCAGCGGCATGGCCACAGAGGACTAGAGTGGAGAGTGAAGCTACCAGCTGATAGGAAGAGAGGGCATACGCACAAGAACACCCACACTTGCAGATGGTACCCACATGACCTGGCCCCGATGAATGGATGATCAGAACTCAACCAGGAGAAGAAAGAAGAGGGGGGAAAAAAAGAGTGATCTGATATAATCTGATGAACTTGACCTACACCTATGGATGCAGTAACCCAAAAGAGGGAACAAATCCTTACAGGAAGAAACATTCCCACCCCCTCCACACATAGAGTAGACAGAGGATGGGCAACTTGGACATTGGATACCCAAATGGCGGGGGCGGGGGGGAGTGGACTACAAAGGCAAAAGTGAATGGCTTACAAGCTTTCAAGAGGGAACCTAGAGCTAGGGGACATGGAGGAAGGCAGAATCTCCAGTGAGTACTATCCAATCTGTCTAGGCAGGGCTGATGAAATGAAATGCAGAAGAGTCACTTGGGATACAATAGTGCATGATTGTTAGCAGGACTGATTGTGAGGGTTGGAAATGTACAGGTAAACGTTTTGTAGCAAGGAAGGGAGTGATTAACTCTCCAGTCTAGGAGCAGAGGTCTCTAGGACCATCATTGGAGAAGAGCTGAGAGTGGGACCCTACCCAGAGAAGCAGCGAGGCCCGAGATAAAGGCAGAGACGATGACGTGAAGTGATGAAGCGGCTGGGGCCTTTGGATCCAGAGAGGGAGAGGGACTGTGTGCTGAAGAATGGGGGGTTTGGGGGGTGGAGTGTAGGGGGCGGGTTTATAGGGTATACCCTTTGGTCGGTTGATGATGCATGGAGGGGTTTGGAACCATGGCAATGAAAAGATATACGGTGGAATGAATGTTAAACTAAAGTTCTCTCATGTAAAATATAATTCACAATAAAACATGCAAAAAAAAATAAGCTGTGTAGTTATGTATAGATAAAGGACTATTAAAAAACCAAGGAGAGAGCTGGGCTTCTTGGAATTTAGATAAGCAATGTTTGTTGTTGTTAAGTGCCATCAAGTTGGTTCTGACACATAATGACCCATGTAGTGTTTCCAGGGCTTTAAATCTTCACAGGCGCAGAAAGCCTTGGAGTGCCTTGGTAGGCTTGAGATGATCATACGATATTTCTGTTTCCAACTTTTTGAGGAAGCACCATATTGTTTTCTGTAAGTAAGCCAATGTTACTGCATTACTTCACTCATGTCTGTATTCATTGTTTGGCTTCCAGAAAAGCATTTTCCTAACCATTTTATCTGAAGTAGTACCTTTCCCCACTCCCAAGTCCATTCTCAGCAACTCATTATCTGCTTAATTTTTTTTCTTAGAATGTTTTACCATTAGTAATTATTTTCCTATGATATGTCTCTGCTATCTAGAATACAAGACCAGGGATAAAGTGATGGCACACATTAGGGTCTACATAAGCATTTGTTAATTGAGTAATAATAAATGTTTGTATATGTATGGAGTAGATTGTTGTATGTTTTGATGGAGACAACACTAATTACTTTATAGCATCTTATTTTAGACTTAGACAGATGGTCCTATTTTATGAATAACAAATGTGGTAGAAACACATACCACATCCCTTTATTGCCTATCTTTAAGATCTAAGTTTTCAACATGATGCAGTTTGATTTGGCCATGCTGTCTTTTTAAATGTGCAGGTTCTGCCAGCATTGTGTATCATCAAGATGTTTAACTTTTCTTCATCTGTTCATTGACTAAAGAAACAACAGCAAACAATTTGAAAGCAATGTAATTGAAATTAAAGTACATGATACCTGAGGTTTTCTAGTTAAAAAATTAACTAAAAAAATTTTCTGGTCAAAAAATTTTTTAAAGTCAGTTGCTCCATTAGATGATTTCTAAGTAGCATTGATGTTCCTAACATCTTAATCCTAAAGAAAATTAGCTGATTCTACTGATTTGTAATTTGCTTTGTATTTAATTTTATATGTAGCCTCCTTAATCAAGCTTACTTGGTAAATATACCTTCTATGACAAATCCCAGATAGAGATTGTACTAATACTATAGAACAGATTAATCTTCCTTAAAAGCATTCTTTAATGCTTACATTCCTAGAATTTAATTACCATACAAAATTATGCTTCTCTATATTTGGAATCTTGGTGTGATGCTGTAGGATAAGCACTGGACTGCTAACTGCCGACTTGATGGCATTTAACAACAAAAGCAAAAATAGATTCTGAAACCAAGAATTCACTTGTGAACAGATTGGATTTTGGTTTTTAAATCTATATTCTTAAGTACATCGTTTTGCTCAAGCATGTACTCTCACGGCACTTAAATTTTGTTACTTATGAGTGTAAAAAATCACCACTGTAATGTCCATAATTAAGTTCATTATGTTGTTTCTATTTAATTCTTAAAAGGTGACACCTTTTATTAAACTGAAAAGGATAGACATCTATGACACTAGGGATACACATAATTTAGAAAGCTAATTAGAAGGTTTAATGAGACTTGGACATCAAAGTAGGAGAAATGATTTTCCGTTTTCTTTTACCTGGAGTATTTCTCTTTGAAAAACCAGAGATTCTATAGGATGATTGAAATCTTTGCTATTACTTGCTTAGTAACTACTGTTAGAAAAGCTGCACTTTCTGTTCTGATTAAGTTTAGTGACTTTGATTTAAAATTAGAATAAACAAATAGTACTGTGCATCCACATCAATTATGTTGCTTGTTAGGTGTCATAAGAAGAGACTGTTAGACAATAGGACCTAAGGACTTTTAAGATTTTAAAATAAGATTTTTATATTGATTTTTTTTTTAAAAAAAAAAGAGGTTTAAAGAACTGAACACTTTCCATATTTTAATGATTTCTCTCTCTCTTTTATTCCCTTCCCATATTCTTTTATATTTTACCCAACTCAAAAAATGCCCTTACAGAAACACAAAGTAGATCTTTTCTACAAATTACGCCATGTGATGAATGAACTTATTGACCTTCGAAGGCAGATACTATCGGGTCACCTGACTCAGGATCAGGTTCGGGAAGTTAAACGTCATATCACCGTGCGCTTGGACTGGGGTAATGAGTAAGTATGGATATCATGTGGGCGTATCTCGGTTTGAAATATGATAATTTATTTATGATAATTCAGGCCTCTTAGAGTTGAATCTCATCTTTAATAATTAAAAATCAATGTCATATTCTCCACTAAGCTCTGATCATCTGATTTATGCTAGGAGTACTTACTTCTTCTAGTTAGCAAAGAATACTGGGCTAGTCACAGAAACTCTCTTCTTGAAAATTAAAGAGTTGGAGTAGATTATACACTGAGATTGATTGCCATTCAAATTCTTTGATTCTGGACCTCATTTTACTTTACAAGCACAATGTGCTTCTCCCGGGACTGATCCCTCCTGTTAACCTGTCCAGAGTACGTGAGGTGAAAGTCTCCCAATCCTTGTTTCTAAGGAACATTTTGTCTGTGCTTCGAAGACAGATTTATTTGTTCTTCTGGCAGTCCAGTGATTTATTCATAATTCTTCACCAACAGCATAATTCTCATGGGTCAATTCTTCTTCAGTTTTCCTTATTCATTGTAAAGGGTCAGCAAAAAAGAGAAATATTCTGAATGATTTAGATTGACGTAGTGGCTACAATAGTGGACTCTTACATAGCAATGATTGTGAGAATGGCACAGTACCAGCCAGTATTTAATTTTGTTGTACATACTATAGCTATGATTCTGAATTGACTTGACAGTATCTAACAACAAGAAACCTCACTTAATCAGAACACACTTCTTTCCATCTTTCAGTACCTTTCTTGTTTCAGGTGAATTCAGTGTCCTTTACAATTCGTAGCTATACAGTGAATATAAGTCCTGGTGTGAGGCAGCACATGGACTTACTAGGAAGACGTTTTAAGAAAATTGAAAACTGCATTAATTGAGAAAAAGGCCAGGAAAGTTGTACTGAGGACCTTTTTTTCCATCACTGCAAGGCACCTGCTTATTCTGTGAGGATTGCAAGGAAGGACTGTCTTTCAAGAATTTCACTGGGTGGGAAATTTTATCCCATCCTACAACCCTTATCCTACTCCTTCAGACATGTTTTTTTCTCCAAAACTCAAAGAACATTTAAAAGATACACAATTTGAGTCCTTCAGGCATGCCTAAACTGTTCTTTTGATGTAGTGTCAATTGAAAAATGCAGGTTTCTTCAAGTAAGGGTTAGAGAGATAGAAGCACAGCCTTCAAAAGTATATAGACCTAGATGAAGGATATGTTGAGAAACAATAGCTTCACATTTTGGTATTTTGTTTAATAAAGGTTTCTATGATTTTAAAGCACTGATAACACTATAGAATGAATACTGGACTATTAATCACAAGATCAGCAATTCAAACCCACTAGCCGCTCTGTGGGGGAAAATAAGGCTTTCTGCCCCCATAAATATTTGTGTAATTTTTTCATGTGAATAGAAACAGGTTCATCTATGAATTTTAACCCACTGGATAGTACTTAAGGTCAATGTGATTTTATAGCAGTACTTTTTGAATAATGCTTATAGGTAGAAAATTAGTGAGAAGAAGTTTTAGATAATGAGGAATTGGTCTGCCCTGCAGCTTCCAAAACCATGGAGAAGGGTAGAAGTGGAACTTGATCTTAAAGGGAGATTTCTTAAACATGTGTATAAGAACTAGTCCACCTTTATCAATGCCTAGTAGCTAGATGTTTCTTCTTCAGATAAATAAGCATAAATACAAGGACTAACCATACGGGGGGAAATTGGGCAACCTGAGTGTGAACTAGGACGTAGAACAATGCCCTTCACATTATGCCATAATATAACATGAATTCACGTGTATCCTGGATCAATGCAGAACTTTCCACATCTATTTAATAACAATTTTAGTTTTCTTTCTTGAGATTGTTGTTGTTTAGTGTCATAGAGTTGGTTCTGACAGCACTTCAGGGCAATGTGATTTTATAGCAATACTCTTTGAGTAATGCTTATAGGTGGAAAATTAGTGAGAAGAAGTTTTAGATAATGAGGAATTGGTCTGCCCTGCAGCTCCCAAAACCATGGAGGAGGGTGGAAGTGTTTAGGGTTTCTAAGGTGCAGCTGGTGGGTTTGAACTACCAATCTTGTGGTTAGCAGCCCTACAGTGCCCCACCAGGACTTCTTCCTGAGATTGGGGGTTATTCTTTATTTTGTCAAGAATTTGATCATTTAGAACATTAAATATATGTGACTTACACTTGTTGACTTACTCACATTTCT